ATCGTATCATATTTCATAAAGATCTCATTTTATTCCGCATGCCCGAGTGTCTGAATTTTAATATTTATCCTGCATGTCATGATTTTAATATTTCTCATGAAAAAGCCAGAGAGATAGAGGGGGGGACAGATATCTCACCGAAAGCACACAATATCCCTTTTTCCACCCTGTTGTGGATACAGGAAATTGCGTTCACATTAATTTTTCCATGTATACGAAATAAACGCACCCCCTCGGAAAGATGCACGTTATATCTATCGTAACAATTTCCACGGAATCAAAGAGGCGGGTTACGAGATGGTTATTTGCAAGGAATATTAAAGTTGCCGGTTGAAGAAGCTGCTTTCAACAATTTCCGGCAACTTTTGATAGGCAATGGAGCAATTTCATCCACGTTTAGATGAGGATGTTATTTATTATGCCTCAGGAAATTTATCTCCCTTTGATCATAAAGGAAGGTACTATTATTCATTCGACCAGGAGAAAATATGCGTTTAATGCCACCAGGAAGATGAAAGATATTCAATGTTAGAGATAGCAATAGTTTATTATTACCAGCCCACAACTATTTATTAATTTTGAGAAATGGAAATAAATACCGAAGGGCCTTTGAATGGTGTTCCATTAACTCTTTGCCCTATCGTTTATTCAATTTTAATTTACTCTCTTGCACCTATTTCGTTCATGATAAAATCACAAAAGATTTACAATTTTTGTGCATTTTAATTTTTAATTTAAAATGCTAATTTTAGATTGAAGTAAATGGTATACACAATTTAAAATTTAAGCAAGAGGTTTAAGCTAGGAATTAAAAACACCAAACTGATTGGAATGATAGTTTTGGATTGTAGAAAATTATCCGTAAAGACTAACTCTTCCTTTTTACGAATACTGAATTTAATAGCAATATTCCTATACCCTAAACTACCACGAGAATAATTAAATAATAAAACGGTTAAATAAAAATTTTGAAAAGTATTATTCGTGATCAAAACGCTATTACTCCTTTTCATATGGTGGCTTCTAGATTATTAGAAGACAAATGTATTAATTATTCAAATCACAAGTCGCAATACCTATTCACTAGAACCAAAATCTAACGATGAATGACACCTGTGCATCAAGATACCAAACAATCAAAGTACCAATTCACACAAACCCTAACATTCGAACGCACGAAACCCCTAAGTCTCGGTACCACAACACCGAGTTATCTCGATTTCAAGGTATCGAAACATCAAGATACCACTGCATCCAGCCAGCACAGTGCACCGTGCAGAGGTTCCAAACCGAAATCCCTCCATATCAAGATGTCGACGCGTCAACCCTATCGATTATCGAACTCCTTCTCTCACTCTGTTACAAATTCACAATATCCATGAGCACAATATTCCACCAGCACCAAGCTGCATACTTCAACATCAAGGATAACCCAAACAAAATACCACTGCAACCCTATCGAGTATCCAACCACAACGAACGTTCGCCAATATCCTCATCGCCTAAATCTTCCTCTTTTCCAAATCGTTCGCCAAAATGGAGACGTGCTCGTACTTAACCGAAAGCTAACCGGAACCCGGGCTGTATATCGAACGAGCGTTAACCGAAGCAGGAATCCTGAAAGTGGTATCCGAAACAGGTTTGCAACGCTGAAGCGACAGCCGCAGAACGAAACAATTGGGCGATGCGGTAATTTCTCCGGCCGCACGATCATCGATGAAGCTTGTAGCGGTCGCAGCTCACGCAATTCCGGCCTGATTAGCCGGCGCGCGGGCGCGATGCGCCGGCATATTTAACTAACTAATGCAGTTGCAAATTAGCTATTAGTAGGTGTTACACGCGGCGGCAGATAGGCGTAGGGTAATCAAATTAAATGGAATAGTTACTGTCTCCCCTGTCTGGCGACGGGGTGGGCGCCGGAGGAAACTACATAACCCTGTTAGCCTAACTGCGCAAAGTGCACGCGCTCGTACACGCCGGGATAACGCGCGCGTGCCCGCTGGAACGCGTGCATTAGCACGCCGAATGCGAATAACATGTATAAACAGGCATGATGCATAGGCGAAATCTCCGCAGATCCCTAGGGGATGTTATCAGTATCGCGTCTCCGCGTCCGGGAAAATATCGAAACGTCTGTCAAAGGGGAGAACGTGGCTGGAAAATCGAGTTCGACGGGGAATTGCTCGATGCCGGGAAAGGAAGCTATTTTAGTTTCTCAACACCGGAGAAGTATCACCTCCGATGCGTCTACAGGCACGTACAAAGTGTACGCAAATTCGATTTACGACGCTGGCGTATCGGAAAATTTCTCTTGAGATTAGGGCTAAGGGGCGGCGAGGGGACGTTCGGCTTCGGATTTGACGTTTCTCGTTTGGAAATTCGGGGAAATAGAGGATTATGAACTGAGAGTGACGCGCGGGAATTTGGTTAGGTTATGGGAATTAAGCTAGACGATTTGCGTTGAGAATTCGGCAATTAGCGCGATGATAATTTGCAATTTATTTGGTTTAAAGAAGACAAAGGTGATGTTTGTAAGGTTCCTTGCTATAAACGTATCTCGTCTCAGTTTTATATAATAGTTGGCCTATTTTATATTATTTTTGAAGACAATTGTACATATGGAAGTACGTGCTTTCATAGTTGGAGTGGGAAGAGCGATACTCTGGATATTAGACGATTAGTCGATTAACCCTAAGCGAGTCACCAAGAGCGTGCATAGAGAGCTAATTAGATAATTAGGCTAATTAATTCCAACAATTTTACACTAGTGTATTTTATTATTATTTACTGATATATTATTCATTTTAATTATACATATCATCGCTAAGAATAAAATTAATAATATTGAATTAATAATTGTTGAAAATAAGATACGTCTTAACGTATTTACAAAAATCAATCTCTTAGGAGAAGTGAAGTGTTTACTTCACGCTGTAGATAAGAAATAGGGGATCAGGACGAGCTGCAATTCCATACCCTTTTTCATCCCTCTAATTTTGTCTCTCCCTGCGTACAATTACAAAACAGAAGGTATACCTTCCTAAAAATAGAATAAAGATAATTATAAAGAACGATAGTTATTTCTTTTTACCCATAATCCCAATAATAATAACATTGACCCGTGACATGTACCCAAATTAATAATCTACAATAATAATCTATATAATAAAAATTGGTGTACTGCCATATTTTTAAAAGCAAAAATAAAATATCCAGGTAGCCAGTCGTTATGTTCGATTTGATATTTCCACGATTAATCTGAGATTCTAAAATACCTGTAGCTTCAGCTGACAGGCCACGTTCTCTCTGCCACGAGCAAAACAAATTACATCGGTGTGTCGATATTTTCGGAATCGAAGATTTAATTAGGGACAAGGAAGGGATGTAAACATTTACACGGGATCGGGTGGTCGTGGTAGACGTGTGTGCTGCCGATGCAAATGCTAGAAGAGCGTTCGTATCGATAAGCACAAAGGACATGGCGGGCCATTTAAACGGAAACAAGGGCCGCGTGTAACGAGGACCGAATTGGTGCACGAAACGAACGGAAGGCGGGTCGAGCAAGTGCCATAGACGGAATATTATCGGTTCATTATACGGCAACTTCTCGGCGGCTACAGTTAATCGAGTAATCGTTGCTAAACTTTATAAACAAGCTGAAGTTAGCGGAGCGTGTTTACAAATGAATTGGCGCTTATCGCGTTCGCCAAGTTCTTTACAATTACTGATAACGAATTTTCCTGGGCTTACTTTGGTATATCCTACTGTTTCAAATTATCCGGGAACATCGTCTGCGACTAAAGAGCTCTTTGGAAGAAGAACGAGTACTCAAGATAGGCTCTTGCATTGATTATTGCATTTTATAATCTCGTTACACGTTTAAGATGAAATTTTAACTTTGAATATCTCGAAACACGATTTTAGATAAACTTTTACTTTGGTTTACAGGATTGGATGACGGTAAAAGATATGTAAATTATTATAAATTAATCAGTCAGCTGTGGCGACCTCTTTTCAGAGCGTACACCTATATGTGTCGCGAGAATTAAGCTATGACAGGTATAGTCGTCAAACACAAAGTAAGTTATTAAAATATTGGATCAAAAAGACGGCTTTATTGTATAAAATGAACACTTTTATTACTAATATTTATCCGTTCCCTTAACATAAACATATGCAACATACATAATAAACGTAAAACTCAGGAAAATCAAATATCTATAAAAGTTAAAAATTCAAACTGCTGCTGTCGAGTACTATACACCAAAACCAGGAACGACACAGTGACACTTTGCACATTGAACACCAATACCGCGATTCTTTCCTAATCTCTTGTTTATAACAAAGTGCACATCTTCGAGAAGGATTGTTTATTGCTGAACTGCCAAGTATATGTATATAATCCAGGAAGGATACTGTGTTTGAGCGGGAAACATTAGACCTCGTTGGCCGAGATTTGATTATTTATACCTTTTAATTCTTTGTTTTATTTCATTTTTAGAACGAAAGATTCGAAACACATTGAAATTTACGAATATATGTTAATTTTCGCTAAAATTACAATTTAAATAGCAAATGGTAACTAAATTTTACGCATGACGGATATAGTCATCAAACACAGCTGACTGTTTAATGGAGAAACGACAAACACTTAACGTGGAAAGTGTAAAAGCCCTCAACAAGATTAACATAACATTTTAATATAATTAAAAAGAAAAGCTAGATTTTCTTTCAGTCCATCAACTACCTCAATCGAACTTTACCATTTTCTCATCACTTACATATTTATCTAAAGTAGAAATTTTGTAAAATTAAAAGCTTCTCATCGAAGTTTAATATCTAATCATCGAACTTCCCGATCATCGACTGAAATTTGTATTATGCACGAAACGAATGTCAAAGTTTCCCAGACTCTCAGGACGGTAGCCGGGAAAGGACCAAGGGGTCCGATTTAGGATTAATACGATATTAATACGCGTTTCTGGGGTATGTACACGAACCTGTGAGAGCTGTTCTGTCGTTGCCTCGGTCGCCAGTCTGGCCAGACCCTCCTCGTACCTCTCCAGGGCCGTCAGTCTGAGCAGCAAGTTTTGCAGCAATGCCGAAACTTCCTGCCTGGCCGCACCGTCGACCGCAGCGACCTTCTGCGTGATGGACTTGACGTGGCCCATCACCCTCTCGTCCCGGAAGTCGTACGGGAATGTTTCCGTCCATTCGGCTAGCAGCTGCACCAGTCGCGGCACGAAGCGTTGCAGACGTTCCTGGAACACGCCACACAGTTTTCACCAAGCTTCTCTTCCTCCCTTTTTATTAGCTCACTTCCCCGTACACGCGTTGCCAAACAAGTTTTGGATGAGGCGGGGAAATGGGAACGCTAGAGAATACGCGGAATGAATCTCGCGGAATTTTTCAGATCGATGGCAGAGTGCTAGAGACTGGGTTAATTGGAACAGAAGAGGGAAGAGGGATTCCTCTCCTTTCCACTAAGATGATTGGTTAGCTTTCCGGAATAATGGTTTGGTTGATATTAATTTTCGCGAATAGAGTAAAAATTCCGTTGGTCTGCTGTTTACGAAGTTCCCTCGGAATTTTTCAGATTGATGGTAACGCTGCAGAGACTGGGTTAATAGAGGGATCTCTCTGAGATTGCAGACTTTTCAGCTTTGATGGTTTGGTACATATTAATCGTGATAAACCGAATAAACATGGGGTTGGATTACACTGCCAACAAATTTTAACTTTTTCCCTAATCTGTAATATCCATTAAGTGATTAATGTCGAGTTCATTTTCCAGGGCACGAATTCGTAATTGAAATTGCTCTATCGACCTCAATTTCCGAAAAATGAGAGTTTTTCTAAAAATGCTATTAACTCCTGCCTAACTTGTTTCTAATTATTTAGAAACACGAATAATTATAAATATCGGGGTACTCTAACCTAACCTTTAAGATAAGAATGAACCTTCTGACGTATTTTCTTTTTATGTGATATTTTATTTTAACGAAAAATCATGTCTGTTTAGAAACACTCACAATTTTCTTGTATCGAGGTATTTTAATTTCCAAAGCACCACTCAAACAATACTCTATTCTGCAAAATCGAAAGAGCCCCCACCACGTTCGTACCTCGTCGTCTCTTTCGTTGGAGTAAAATACGCCAATCTATATATTCGGCAAGCACCGTATTCCTGCTCTCTTTCATATCGCTCCGATCCCGAAACTGGAAGCCACGAAAAGAACAAAAGAGAACGGGACGAAGAAGTGAAGAACCCAAAACGTAACATAACCGTAAATCACGGGAAGCGATTCTGCCTTCCGAAAATTGGGAACAAAGAAGCGAAGAAGAAGTGGGAAAGAGAGCAGGATCGTCGAGCTGGAAATTCATTTGCGAGCGAGACATTTCTGGCCTGGATACGCGCGTGCTCGTTATTACAAGGTGGAACGAGAGCAAGCGTGCCAGGGTGATTCTCCGAGGGGGTGAATGCGAAAAGGGGGTCGAGCCTGCGAGACGATGAAACGATAATGCACGCGGTGGCCGTAAAGTGCACGCCCGGAAGGCTCTCGGTGGGCTTTTGTGGCAGGCTGGATTCGTGGGCTCACCTTGCCACCCTCTCCATTCAGGTTTTGCTGATGTTCGCAGAGGGCGCAGACCTCGCCCAGGAGCTCGTGCGGCTTGATGAAGAGCCTGGCGCTCAGCAAAAAGGCGAAGAGGTACGCCCGATCGGGATAATATTCTTCGGTGGGCACCATATGCTGCACCAGGGCTTCCAGCGAGCCCGACACCAGGTTCCCGTCTCGATAGACCAGTGCCTGGAAATGAAACACGGGTTTGGTTAATTGATCGTGACTGCTTCCAGCGTTTCTGCCTCAACTACGTGGCATTGTCCACGTGGCGGTCTAAAGTTCTAGATATTCGCGCGAGTGTGCGGTACAGTGTTCGATATTTTTTAATTTTGGCAAGAACAAAGAGAAATTGCTCGAATTTTTGTGTATCGCGATCAATTAGTGTTATTTTATAGTAGGGACGTCATAGCCACGTGGTAGTCTGTCGTTGGAAGTACTCGCGTGAGTTTAGCTTAATTGCACGCGATATTTTTTAATTTTGGCAAGGACAAAGAGAAATTACTCGAATTTTTGTGTATCGCGATCAATTAGTGTTATTTTATAGTAGGGACGTCATAGCCACGTGGTAGTCTGACGTTGGAAGTACTCGCGTGAGTTTAGTTTAATTGCATGCGATATTTTTTAATTTTGGGAAAGAGGAAGCGAAATTGTTCAGATTTTAATATATCGCGATAAATTGGTGTCACTTTTCAGAAGGAAAGCATAACCACGTGGTAGTCTAAAGGTGGAAGTACTTACGTGGGTTTAGTTTAGTAAATTTACGATATCTTTTAATTTTGGAAAAAAGAAAGAGAAATTGTCCCAATTTTTGTATATCGCGGTCAATTAGTGTTACTTTATAGTGAGGGAGCTATGAGCACGTGGCAGTCTAAAGTTGAAAGTACTTGCATGAGTTTAGTTTAGTAAATTTACGATATTTTTTAATTTTGGGAAAAAGAAAGCGAAATTATTCGGATTTTAATATATCGCGATCAATTGTCACTTTTCAACGAGAGACCATAGCCACGTGGCAATCTGAAGCTCGAAGTACTCGCGTGAGTGTATAGTAGATGTCCAATATTTTTTAATTTTGGTTACGGCTCGCGAAATACTCGAATTTTCGTATATTTCAATGAATAAGTAATTAATAATTATACATATACACCCACAGATACGCGAGTAATCCTGGGCTTAAAGGATAATTTTCATTTTGAGCTGCGAGAAGGTTGTTTTGATTATCTGCTTATGCATACCGCGTCTATAATTTAGAGGATGAATATGTATTTACTGTATGAAAAGGAAAGTTACGTAAATATATGGGATGCCCTTAAAATCGTGGCGCGAATTTCTGGAAAGGATGTATGTTTTCACGGTGCTTATTAATATTTAGATTTTACTGAGGATGTTTGTGTTGCTCATACATTAAAATTGCATACAGAAAGTTAGTAGATGAGATTACGTATTAAATTGTATAGAATAATTGACGGGGTTGTAGGGAAGTTCGAGGACGAAGGAGAACGAAAAAGTCTGAATTACTTTATTATTAAATTTCCTTGTTTTCTTCGTTTTTGTATTAGCAGTTTGAAAGTAAGCTTATTAAAAATTTCATCGAAAACGAAAGTTTCAAATCCCCGTCGGGGAGAATAATTATACTTTAAAATGAATCAGGTTTCGTGTCTCGTATCGATTACTTGGCTTAACTTTGCATAATGTAACCTAAAAGCTAATTAACTATTGAAAAATAAGTTAGAAAATCGAGCCGATCGATTTTCGTGTACCGTGGAAAACTCGTTTAATTCATTAGGTATTCTCTCCAATGCTATATTTACGTGCAGTCTACCTCGAATGCTATATAATTTACACCTGTCAATTCGCGACATTAATTGCTCGAATAAACAAATAAACATGAAGATCGATATGTAAATAACGCCATCGCCTTTATTATCATATACTAACGCAATAACACGATACACGGGAATAATATTCCATACGATCGCAATTTAATAGAAAATGTCAATTCCACGACAAATACACGTATATTGATATTTTCGATCAATTCAATTTAATTGGTTTATTTGAAATTTACCCTCCGTTTTTTCGACAACAAACGGAGGACTCATTGCAACTACCAATTAACAGAGACCAATTGATTAAAATTACAGAGACTAAAAATTCATAACTAATTAGCAACTTCTCCTTCAGGATATCTGTGAAACTCAATTCTCGTGGAAGATAAATCTTAATTTGTTTAAAATAAATAAAAATCGACGAAAAAATAAAAAACCAGAGAGAAGCAACGTTGGAGCTTTAAAAATGAATATCTACCGTGCTTCGTGTCCACTGTCCCAATTTTTGGAGAGATTATATACTACCAAAACGTTGACTATATAAAATAGCCATATTTTACCCGGAAAAAATCGACCAAGGGATATAATCGTGGGAAAGAAAGCTATTTCAAGCGAGAAATTAGCATCCACGTGCAACGAGCGATAATTAATAAAGCGATTCATTCAGTAAACGGTGACAAATTACCAAATGACAGTTTGTATCACGCGTAATTCTTGCTCGTGCGATATTTAACGACAGATTAATACGTTATCAGCAAACATATTAATTAACGTAACGTCGTCGTTGCGCGATTAAATATGCTGATGCATAAAGCCGGATCTGATTGCAGAGGAAATACGCAGTCGGTCGATAATGTCGTTAAACCGATATTTAACGGCACAGAGCGGGATAGAGTAGGATTTAAATTCGTTTGAATCACGCAGAGGGCCCGTGAAAATGATTTCCGACGTCTCGTTATCGGCGCGGACTAAACGCCGTGTAATAATCCTTCGAAATTTTACAGGCGCGATTTTCGCGCGAATTTCAACGAAAGAAGCGCTTCGATGCCATATTTTGTAACTTTATGGCCGCATAAATAGCCCCCTTTATGGTACTCGTAAAGTAAAAAGAAGTAATAACGAATGAAATTCCGCTTCTTCCCCGAGTGCCCTTCGCTTGACAACCTGGCGACGCTCAATTTTTCTGATAAATTTTGTTCCATGGCATTTGCTTTTACTACATGCCCGTAGAAACGAGTAATAGCAGTGGCCAATGTAATGTCATCGCGATTCAATTTTTCCATCAATTCCTTTTTCTGAAGTCCGATATTCGATGAAATTTTGGGGGCAGAAAAATAATAGAGAGTAATTAGATATTTTATTATTATATTATAAAAG